ACGTGTATTCGTATACTCATTATTCGAATATTCTTTACTCGTTATAAATGAAACATAGTTTGGTATAGTGAATAACGAATAATCGTTCGTTCCTTTCTTTCGAGGCTTACGTATTACGGCCCATCTCGACGTATGATACATTTATCTGATGAAAAAAACACCCTCATAATAACGGGCCGCAACAAGCAAGAACAGACAAAAATGCTTTGCATATTGACACAGCATTTTTTTTTCTTTTTTTTCTAAATACTGTGCACTCCTGTATTCATAACTTATTTTCATACTTCACATGTCATCAACAGAGCAGCAACGTGTTATTCTCGTTACTGGTGCTAACAAAGGCATTGGCTTCGAAGTTGTCAAGCAGCTCGTTCAACAGCCTCTAATCAAGAGCAATGATATTATTCTTCTTGGTAGTCGTGATGCGAAACGTGGTCAAGATGCACTGGCGCAGTTGGATTCTCCCTCGAATGTGCACCTTCTTCAATTAGACACGTCGTCAGACGAGAGCATTGCTCATGCCACTGATGAAATCAAACAAAAATACGGCGGTCAACTAGATATAATCATCAACAATGCAGGTATTGTTCCCAAAGACAAAAGCCACCCCTCACCCTCACCCTAAAAAATGAACAGGGAATGGCGAGTATGGGAGACAACAGATGCCCCAAAAAGAAAGTTGTCATTCGAAGTATGAAGTCATATTCCGATTTAAAAAAATTTAGATTTTGAAACTGCTCAGGTATCAAAATGAGTTCGTGTCGCGTACCATCCTGTTCTATTATTTTGTTACCGTGTTTTTTCCAATAATTAAGACATTGAAGCTACTGAATAGAAACTTAGTTTTCAATCTTTTTATTTTGGACTTTCCAAAAAGAGAATTTAATTGCGAACAGCCCTATATGGTTAGTGGGTTGCACCTTGAAACATTTTCAGGGGGATATTCATCGGAAAATGCAAAAGACCAGAGACCGGATTTTTTCTTTTTCAATTGTCGCATTATGAACACTGAGTATATGTTAATGTTTTAAATATTACTAATATAAGGAAATTTTTTGTTGGACTATCCAACTCCACAGTCTTATAGAGTGGAAAAGTCTCTATCGAATGAGCTTAGAATGTACTATTCAGACTATGGGAAACTGCCCAAAAGTTGCATTGCCTTCGCTGCCTTACCGAATTATCATCATTTTCCTACTTTAATCACACTTTGAAGACTGCAGAACAGAAGTATTTAACATTCGAATTAGAGTCCTACTCAACGGCTACCCATCCAAGTTCATAGACGCCCATTTCGACCGCTTTGTCAAAGATATCCGCTTACGTAACCTTGGCTCTCTTTTCGAGAACCAAAGCAAATATGATTACTACCGTACTAACGTTAGAGACCTAAACTGGATGAGTAGCCGACTACCACGCAAACAAATTAATCCACAAAAGGATCTTCTCATCCATTTTTCATACGTGCCTTTCATTTCGAGCTTTGGCCCCAAATTTTATTTAATGTGGACTGAGACATATGAAAACACTGCCCTTACCGATGTTTACTCTGTTTTTGCCAATCGTCTAACCGAAAACCTCACCCAAATGTTAATCCGAAAGAAACTCCGAAAACAGGTCTTAAACCCACCTCTAGAAAGAATTTGAATTTATCTATTTAAATATGTGCTGCCCGGTTTTATGCTTCTATTTTAGTGATACAGGGCATCGGACGAAATACGATAACAAGTCCAAAGACAATCGCCACTATTAGAGAAAAAGTTATCTTTTTCCTCCTTTCCTCACGTTTACACTGGAAAATGACCTTTCTCCTTGAAAAATATCCTCTTTCACCAAACTTCAACAAACAAAGCGTCCCAATTTAAACGATTTAATTTTTCACAGATGCATGTATTTACGTTCAAATCTCTAGATGCATCTGCTCGTCAAACAGTAAAATATCATCAGGTTTATATACTGATCGAGATAATAAACAACGATTTTTCTTCCTCTTCGAACAAAAGAACTTCAAAACATTTCAGCCTAAAATTCAGCAAATTCTTACAAATTTCCATTTCTCTTTGAATAAAATTTCCACTTCCAATAAAGGGTTTCACAAAATTTTCACTCTCCCTTTTAATCAAATAAAAACATTTCTCTCCTCTCTTATTTTTCCGTCTGCATGAACAAATTCCTATATAAACAGTCGCTTTTCCGTCTATCGATCATCATTGTACAAATGAGCACTTACTGAAGAAGCTATTCGAAGACCTTTCTGATCAAAATAAGATATCTCCCAGCTCTAAATGATGTTCTAATCAAGAGTTATAAGAGTTTTATTGAAAGTCCTGAAACATCAGATTCTGGCGCATCAGATTCTGAGAACATCAGATACTGGCGCTACATATCACGAAAGCGACTTCCACCTTAACACCATTTTGTAGCTACAAGATTTCTCAGTAACGAAACATCGCAAAAGAGCTCGGGAAACTCTCACATTGAAGCTGACACATGTGACTAGAGGAATCAAAATCACATATAACTTTCACAATTACACTGTTGCATAACGAGTAATTTTTTGAAAGCGATGTGTAGAATATTTAACTCCGGTACAAATAGAAGATCATACCACGACTGGTTTCGATACCTCCTGACATCTGTGACGAAATTTTATACATCCTCAGCTGTTGAGATGTTCTTTGACGTGTACATAAGAATTTCGTGACACCCTCAGATGTTGAGATATCTGTTGATTTCTCATCAAGATGTGCATTTCCAGGTATTTTAATAAATTTTTCTAATATTTTAATTGATTATGAAAGACTTTCGTTCCGTTTAAGAATAATTACCATATTACCATATGCACTTGAAAATTACTCCTCATTATTGTACCAATTTCTTTTCAATAAAACTTATTCAAAAATGTTGATTTGCGAAATTAATTATTGAGCAGTGCTACTAATGTTAGTAGCTCAAGCGGTATCTAAAGTGTTTCTACCAAACGGTTTATTCGGTCAGCTTTCCAATCTTCGAGCAGGGCAGTTGACTCTCTAATTAAGTTCACTGAGTGAAACGATAGAAGGCTTATTCGGTTTAGCTCTGCCCGTTGCCTAGCAAAATTCTTCTTTCTTGCTAAAGTGGGTTTTCTTTTTCTCTTTTGATGAGAGTTTTCCGAGCTCTCTGCGATGTTTCGTTACTGAGAAATCTTGCAGCTACAAAATGGTGTTAAGGTGAAAATCGCTTTCGTGATATGTAGCGCCAATATCTGTGCATGTTTCAGAAAATCGCTCAACTTAACGAGTTAGGTAGAAATGAATTAGGGAGTATCTATTTCTACTTTTCATCCTATCTGAAAAAGAAAATGTTCGACAACGTGACAAGCTATTTTTCAGAAATATACATTTTTGTCTGGTTTCTAAGATGTAGGACCACCAATATCACTTGTAGTTCGTGAGAAAATAGAATTTTTATTTCTTATTGAGTAGTTAGACCAGTTTTCAGTAGGTTCCATCAAGACTTTCCGGTTTTCTCTTCTGGTCATGGTAGGGTATTGCCGAGTATCGTTTTCTCCATAGTTTGGATTATTTCCGCGTATTGAAGAAAACATAAATTCTGCAGGGCTAAAATATTTTCAGTAAACAGAATAGCTTATGATCTGTCTGCACAAGGGAGCTGTAAAATGTTAAGTCGAGCGACTTTATGCTCTAGTCCGATATCTTTTCTTTTTTCAGGTTACATTTCTATACATGTGATATTCTCTTTCTTATATGTTAGAAATATGACTTCATTTTCAGTCAGTCTTCTCTTACAGTTAAGTAGTCAGTCAGTTTTGTCGAAGAAGATATCACTGACCAGTTAGTGGTCTATTCACTTCGAGGAGAATATTTATTCATTTATTTTCTTGTTAGTTATTTTCTAGTGTGTTATTTTCAGCAGTGTATTTTGTTTTATTCCATCGTGTTATATATATTATTAAAAGATCAAATTGTCTGCTCTGCTAGTAGAAACACGGGTATAAAAAAGAAAAAAGCAACTAGGGGGAAAGCAAAGCATGACACAAACGCAATTAGTGAAAGTAATGTTACGTGCTTCTCGAGTACGCCTGTTTTTCCAGGATATAAGATGCAATTTGCACCTTGCATCCATTTGTAATTTATATCCATGATCCATATGTCACAAACAACTGTTCAACTTCATGAAGGGAAAGAGAAACAGATCGGTTATAAGATGATGTGCACGAGAGATCAACGTTTCATGACCTGGAATCCCATTTTGACTGACGTTTTTCCAGTATAGATAACCTTGATATTATTTCATCATAGTGAAAATACTTTTACATTATTCGCGGAATTTATTATGAAAAAATTCTTTGATAAAGTACATGAATTTTCGGTCCTACATCTCAGAAACCAGACAATGTATATTTCTGAAAAATAGCTTGCCACGTTGTCGAACATTTTCTTTTTCAGATAGGATGAAAAGTAGAAATGGATACTCCATAATTCATTTCTACCTAACTCGTTAAGTTGAGCAATTTTGCATTAAACTCAAAATAAGGGCCATTTTTCTTCTGCAGAAGATCAACGTTTGGACTAAAAAATAAAATTTGTTCTGTTTCGTTCGTTCGTCAGAGACATATAACTGAAGTTTAGATTAGATTGGATTATACAATTGATAATAGAAAACGAAAATTTATTCCATTTCGTAACCATTTTGTCGAAAAAAGAAATCCAGTCAATTCGATGACATCAAGTGTCTCGGTTTATCACACCTTATCAGATGATGCTTTTTAAGTTTTTCTGTTGCTGAAAGCAGTTCTTCTTGCTTATTTTGAAAATGTTTACACTTTAATGAAATAGTTTTGTTTGGAAGAAAACCGAAGGTAAAATGTTTTTTATATCGTCGTAAAAATCTCTGATAGTTTTTAAGATATCGGCAAATGTCTAGCCCGTTTTATGTCAAAAATCTGCTGCTTTTAAACAACTTTATTTTCAAAAAACGAAACAAAAGTTTCCAGAACTGTTCTGTAAGCTTTTTGCCATTGGTCCAATGGTCTGAATGTAATAAAAAAATTGTCTATGTTTATATCTACTCAAGAGAAAAAAGACGAGTATTCCTTAAATTTTATTCAGCTTGATATGGTGAATGTATTTTAATTTTAATGAAATAAACGTGAATTGAAAATCAGCTTCTCTATACGAATATTTTCCTGATTCTTCCTGTACTTTCCTTTTGCTGAGTCTAAGTTCGTTTCGACTTGACAACAGGAGTTTTGTCATTAAAGAACAGTCTCCCCCCCCCCCTCAGAACTTTAGTTAATTTTAAAATTTGTTTGTAATCATTTGTAATGATTTTGATGGTCAAACAATTATTTAAATTTGATACAGTTCGTTTTGATTAGTTCAAAATACAATTTTTTTGTTAAAATGTATACACACAATCTAAAGCAGCTCATAAATAAAAGTGTGTGATCAACGATAAGAGTACGTCGTGGTGCCGCATTGCCGCTCGTGTTTAGACGAGAAGCACGCGTAGCAGACGAGTCCACCGCATCCATTGCAAGTGCCCACGGCGTCGCTCATGCAATGGTTACACTCTCGCTTCAGTATCACTGTGTTGCCGGCACTTTGTCCAGAGCACCAGTGC